GTTTAGAGGTTTAGAGGTTTAGAGGTTTAGAGGTTTAGAGGTTTAGAGGTTTAGGCTTTTACGGGTTTGGGGGGTGTGGGGGTTGCGGGTGTTTGGGGGGGTTTTGGGTTTGGGGTTGCGGGGGCTTGGCTTAGGAGAGTTGAAAGGCGGACAATACAGGGCTTAGTGTTACATCTATAGGCTTTGGAGTTTTGCAATAGAGATATTTCCCTCGTAGGAACGCCGAAAAGGGTCCCGCTGACCCTTAGAGTTTAGGGCTTAGGGTGTGGAGCTTGGGGCTTAGGCTGCGAGAGTTTGGGACCTGCTGCCCCGTTTCAAGGCTCAGGGTTTAGGGCTTAGGGCTTGGGGCTTAAGGCTTAGGGCCTAGGGCTTAGGGCGTAGGGCTTAGGGCTTAGGGTTTAGGGGGGTATTACCATCATGCTGGGAGACTTTCGGGGGGGGGGGCGGGAATCCAGGCTTGCGTGGATTCTTTTGGGGCCGAAACGTCACAAAGGGTAGCTACGCCTGCTGAGAAAGTAGAGTTGCCCTAGCCCTAAACCCTCTAAACCCTAAACCCTAAACCCTAAGGTTTAGGGTTTAGGGTTTAGGGTTTAGGGTTTAGGGTTTAGGGTTTAGGGTTTAGGGTTTAGGGTTTAGGGTTTAGGGTTTAGGGTTTAGGGTTTAGGGGCTGTAGAGCCCTGACATGTTTACTCGGTGGCGACCGTAGCGTGAAAGCAACGCTGGGTACCCAATTGTCAGCACAGGCTGCTTCTTGCGCCCGCGGCCTTCATCTCCGCGCAAAAGGTGCGGGAGAACATTCGTCGCCGTCGAGCTCGGAGGAATAAATGGGGCCAACCCTAAACCCTAAACCCTAAACTTATTCTGATCTCCCCACATGCCATCCACCTCGTCTTCGGTAAAACAACTGACCTCCTGTACTGAGTTCGTACCGAGCCCACGATGAGAGCTACAACACAGGCCACTTTGCTTTAGGTTTGGGTTTAAGGTTTAGGGTTTAGGGTTTAAGGTTCAGGGTTTAGGGCTTAGGGTTTGGGGTTTAGGGTTTAGGGTTGAGGGTATTGGGGGCGGTGGGGGGGGGGGGGGATATCAGGATGTTGGGAGACTTTGGAATCCCAGTTGCGAGTTGCTTGAGATTGTAGGGGGGGGGGGGGGGGGTTTAGAAAATTTAGGGGTCCCTAAACCCTAAACCCTAAACCCTAAACCCTCAACCCTCAACCCTAAACCGAAGAAAAGGTTTAGGGTAGGGTGCTACTTAGGATTTAGGGCTTAGGGTTATGTTCTTGCACTTCTCTTGCTCGCAAGTACTTCAAAAACCTAAAGACTCCTATGAGACAAGCATTCTGAGTGATTCTCTTCATTCCCTACTTAGAGGTTCATAGGCACTTGCTAACCCAACTTTAGGGGGAGTTAAGGGCCTTAGAAGTGAATAAGAACTGCAGCTATAGCTCGGCCACATACCCAAAAGCCAAAACCCTAAACCCTAAACCCTAAACCCTAAACCCTAAACCTCCAAGTGCTAAGCAAGAGTAAGATCAAGAGCCTTGGAGGCGATGTCACCCACCAGGACATTCTTCGGATTCATCATCTCTATCCCTTGTGGCTTTTTTTCGGGGTTGGTGGTTTAGGGTTTAGGGTTTAGGGTTTAGGGTTTAGGGTTTAGGGTTTAGGGTTTAGGGTTTAGGGTTTAGGGTTTAGGGTTTAGGGTTTAGGGTTTAGTGTGTAGGGTTTAGGGTTTAGGGTTTAGGGTTTAGGGTTTAGGGTTTAGGGTTTAGGGTTTAGGGTTTAGGGTTTAGGGTTTAGGGTGTAGGGCTTAGGGCTTAGGGTTTAGGGTTTAGGGTTTAGGGCTTAGGGTTTAGGGTTTAGGATTTAGGGCTTAGGGTTTAGGGTTTAGGGAATCCCCTCCGATAAGGGGGAGTATGGGCGAGGTGTAGGCTGGGTTCCAGGCTCAGAAACTTTAAGAGAGAGGACATGGACCAGCTCAGGTAAAGACCCCAAACCTCTGAACCCGAAACCATGAGCCTCAAAACCTCTAAACACCAAAAACCTATACCCCTAAACAGGTTGTTTAAGATTTAGCGTTTAGGGTTTAGGGTTTAGGGTTGCCTCAAAACCTCTAAACATCAAAAACCTATACCCCTAAAAGGCCTAAACCTTTCAACGCCTGCAACCCAGAACCCTCCCTCGAAAAGACAAAGCCCTCAACGCCTCAGCCCTAAATGCCTAAACCCCACCTAAAGCAACGAAACCCCTTAAACTCGAAACCCGAATCCCGAAACCCGAAACCCTAAACCCTAGACCCTATAAACCCTAAACCAAAGCTGCAAGGTTTCGAAACTACGCTTTAGGGTTTAGGATCTTAAACCCGAAGCCCTAAACCCCAAACCCCGAAAGCCTAAACCCTAAATCCACCCCCCTCCCCCACCGGCCCGCGTGCTTAAGCGCCCGGCTCTTGAGCAAGGCATCCTATGCAAAGAGCGTGTCGACGGGTTCAGGGTTTGGGGTTTTTGGTTTCAGGGTTTTGGGTTTTAGAGTTAAGGGCTTCGGGCTTTGGGGTTGAGCGTCTTGGGAAGGGGTTGAGGGTTTTGGGGCCTGGAGTTGTGGGTTTGGGTTTGGGGGTTTGGGGTTTAGGGATGTGGGGTTCAGGGTTTTGGGGTTTTGGGGCTTCGGGGTTTTGGGGTTTTGGGGGTTTGGGGGTTTGGGGGGTTGTGGGGTTGTAGGGTCAAAGAATTTCCCCGCATCATGCCTCGAGAGGTGGGCCAGGTCGGGGCCAAACCCAAAACGCCAAACCCTAAGGCCTAAACCCTAAACCCTAGGCCTTAAACCCCAAACCCGAAACCCTAAACCCTAAACCCTGAACCCTAAACCCTAAACCCTATCGATTCCACCAGTCCTTGCTCTTCTCCGAGTGCACCAGAGCCCGGACGTTGTAGCGGCCGCTCCGCACCAACTTGTCGACCTAGGGTTTAGGGTTTAGGGCTTAGGGTTTAGGGTTTAGGGTTTAGGGTTTAGGGTTTAGGGTTTAGGGTTTAGGGTTTAGGGTTTAGGGTTTAGGGTGTAGCGTGTAGGGTTTGGGGGTTTAAGGCTTCGGGCTTAGGGCTGCCCTAGCAACTTCCTGAAGCGCTGTGCGCTCGCTGCGGCTGTGTCGGAGCAACCAATAGACCACGCATGGGCGGCCTTCCACCTGGCCTGGCCTTCCTTGCGTTTCGGCGCGTGCTCCCATCGCAAGCACTCGTCTGGCCCCTCGGCACAGTCATGTGCGAGGAACAATGATGAGGAACAATGATGCACAGGACAGTGAGCCTGGAGAGCACAAGGGCTACGTCGAGGTTCAGCGAGTACGAGTCCACGAACATGTACAGCTACTGGCGAGTACACACGAAAAGTGTACCGATGCATGGGTCCATTCGCCGGGCTACTTTGACGCAAGGTTGCTGGGCTGCCGAACAGGGACTTGCAGCACACTGCAACCACAACAAGTTCCGACTTAATCATTTGTGGGCGCGTATGTATCAGCAAGAATGGCAAAGCTATCCAAGGAAGGCAGAAGTCGACAAAATCATCAGCACATTTCCATTGGATGGGCGAGTTTCTCTGGGATCGGTTTGCACCTCATGACGTGGTGTTTCTTTCTCTGCTACTTGGAGCGAGAGGAATGATGTGATTGATCGTGAGCGTGATATGTGACATGTTGCATTTTGCAACTTGGATCCTCCTCTGCACACTGAGCCTTTCGGATGATTATTGGGAGATCTCCGTGAAAGAAATCTCGAACAGCAAAGTGTTCAACAAGCCTTCCCTGTGGTGTTCACCTGCTGGCCGCGCGTAGCGCAGCGAAGCAGTTCAGGGCCCCCAAGGCAGCTTGAAAGACCTGCAGCCAACCGAGTGGCGAGTGTGAAAGTCAAAGGCCCTTCATACCTGCCCGCGCAGGGGCCAGTATTTAGGAAGCAGGTGTACTTGTAGTGACTACAGCTGATGACGGACAGAGTGTTCGTCACAAGAAGGGCATAAGACTCCTCTGTGGGTGATTGCGCTTCGGGTTTGCAGGCCTCTGCAGGCAGTCCTGCTGCAGGGCTGCAGACTTGCTTTAGGGGCCACAGAGGGCTGCAGGAGCAGACTTACTTTCTGCAGGGCTGCAAGATGCTGCAAGCGTTGCAGGGAGAGCAAGCTACTCCCTCTTGACTATCGGGCTGTAAACTTGCTGTTGGGGCTGTAGGGACTGCAAAGTTGCTGAAGGCCTGCGTTAGGTTTTCTGCAGGGTGTGGCCGCCGGGAGCCAGCAAACCAAACGGTCAGGGCACACTTACTTAGCAAGGTGTCCACACCCAGATCCATGTCGCTGAAGTCGATGACTCGGAGTCGATCACACATTGAGAGCGACTCAAGGAGCACACACATCTCTTCCCGTGTGCGACAAGGCTCAGTGGTCGCGCGACCTTGCTGCAGAGCGAGAGCTGGTGTGGGAGGAGGGATGGATGCGACGCAGCAAACTTTGGATGCGCGGCACGGATGGGCCCAGACTTCGTCGACGGAGCTGTCGACACTCTTCAGTGAACAGCGGCGTTCATCAACTGTTCAAGATCATCGCCGCAACGGGGTTTCACCTCAGCACCAACCCAAAAAAAAACCTTGAGCCCTACCCCTAAACCCCAAACCCTAAACCCTCAACCTCAACACAAACCCTAAGCCTCAAACTCCGACCCCAAACGTTCAACCCCAGCCCCAAATCCAAAACCCTGAACCTCAAACCGGAAACCTGAACCCTGAACCCTCAACCCCGGATCCTAAACCCTGCCTAAACACTAGGCCTGATACCTAAGCCCTAAACATTCCCTACACCCTAAACGTGAATCCTTAACCCCGAATCCTTTGTCGCCCTTGTCCACAAACCCCTCTCAACAAGGAAGCCTGCAAGCGTTTTCCTGGTTGCCTGGAAGATATGCGGGTGCTCCATACGTGAAACTCACCATACATGATGCATGTTCCATCTGCATGCGCTGTCGCTCACTTGATTTCCAGATCCATCTGCAAAAATGTCAGAACGGACTGCAAGCTGGGATGCTCTTGAGCCACTGCCTCAAGCACTGCATCTGTGATCTCCTGAGCCACCTTGACCACCTTTGCCTGTGCCTCTTCAGGCCCAGCACCGAGAGAACGACCTCCCGATCCCGCGTGCCGAGACATCGCCCTTCCCAACAGCGTAAGGATCGACCGGAATTCGCTAGCGGTCTGCAGAGTGCCATCTTGAGTGGCAAGGTCATTGTCTCCAACCATTGCAATAGCATCGATTGCTTTTGACAGCAGCGGATACATCTGCTTATACAAGTTCTTCAAGCTTTCGGCATTCTGCCCAACGGTGATGTAAGCTTCCAGCCTGGAGCCATCTTGGAAATGCACTGGAGAGATGTAGTCCGATTCCCGTAATCTCGATCGCAAGTTCTCTGGACCAGGAAGGCTAGAGCAGATGGCCTCAAAGCTGTTGGGGTCAATTTCTGGGTGATCCTCATTCATTTGATCAGCGAGAAGTTCAAGAAAGTCTCTGTAGCTCAGTCGCTCTGCATCCACGTCCGTCATGTCGATGTTAAACCAGAACTCTCCCCCATCACTGCGCCGAATGAGAACAGGAAGCGGGTCGGGCAGGTGTTGCGGCGGGCGATCAGCTGTGCCCATGGCAGCTCTTAAATACTCCTTTGAAGCATCTGAGCTTATCTTACTGTTGGTTAGTTGGGAATGATAGGAAAGGGCTTCCGAGGGATGATTAGGGATGATTTGTTCCTTACAACAAGCTCATGGTAAGCTATGACCTCACTTCCATCTCCAGCTGGTAAGGCACTACAAGTTAAGTGCTGAGCAAGGGTGAGTTCATCCTGGCCAAGCAACAAGAAGGAATGAACCCTCCCTTACCATCGCTCGGACTCCGTTGGAACGTTGCCTGGCGACATCACTTGACCCATGTCAAACAAAGCAAGGCTTGCTAGCGCAACCATGAGCTGCAAACGCGGTACTTGTTACACTGCCGTACTTCTTCCCTGCTTTAGGTTTAGGGGATTTGGGAATGAGGGTGAACGAGTTCAGGGGGTTAGGGTTTAGGACCATTCGGAAAGCCACATCTGAAAACCTTGAAACCCTCAACCCTTAGACACTACACCCTAGAATCGCTAAACCGAAACCCACAACCATGCACCCTAAACCTCAAGCCCTGAAGGCAGAACCGAACCCAAAACAGGACCGGGCTCAAAACCGCACACCGTAAACTCTGAACCCCACTTCCCGGACCGGAAGGCCTGAACCCAAAAAAATCCTCACCAATCCTCAAACTCAAACCTGCCCAAACTTTAAATACCAATCCCATCAACATTGAACTCCACACCCCTCCATGCCAAACCCTCCCCCAAGCCCCTCGACCCTGAACCCTAAAGCCCACGAAGGCTGTTAACTCCAAGCCCTCAGGCGAAACCAAACCAAAGACCTCAACCCTAAACACTAACTCCTAACAGTCAAGCCATCAATCCAGACCCTCTAGGCTCCAAACATCAAGCTCTGAATCTTGGACAGTAAACCCTCAAACCCTGAGCCCTACAAACCCTATACCCTAAAGCCCAAACCACAAACCCTACACCCTCGTCCGCAACCCCGAGCTTTGGTGCCAACTCACTTTACCTTTCGTTTATGTTCGCAAACTTGTCGCGAGATGTTCATTGCTAGCTCAAGCTGGTCCGTGGCCCGGCAATCCATGGTGCATGCCATACAGCACAAAGGGCGCCCAATTGCTGAAAGGCTCTCCCCTTTCTCGATGTCTACGCTGCGCCCAACGCAAAGATGCTGCACGGCCCAGAGGACCACTCTCTCCAAAACCAAGCAGCAATGCCTCATAGAAATTCTTCATCAGTGCTGGGGTGGAATCGTCGTCGATGCGCCATAAGGTCAGAACGACACTCTCTGCTCCCGTCAGCATTGCAGCTCTCCCCATTCCGATCACACCCTCTCCCCGCTGAGCATGACCACAGCCCGTGTCACAGCAAGAGAACACTCCGAGGTGCGTACCTTTCAGATTCATCCCTCGCAGCTCCAGGGCCGTCAAGATTCCTGTGCCTGCACAGGGCGGAGGCTTCCTGCCTCGCATCCAGGTATCAGCTCCAGACATTGCAAATCCACAGCGGACAAATGGGTCTGCAGCATGCCGTAGTGATTGGTGAAGTCGCGTTGCGGATTTGGGAATACCGGAGGCTGGCAAGAAAAACCCATGGGTTGCCACGTGCAGGATTGGTGGACCTTGGGCCTGTAGCAGGTTGTTGACTGTCGCATCGGGACCTGTCAGCGACTTCGGGGGTTCATGCTGTGCCCGCGCCAACATGTTTGCGACCATGTTGCCCTCTTCTCCAGTGCCTCGGAGCGCCTGAAACACCGGAGCGCATCCCCAATCCACCAATGGTTCTGTGTTTATGCTCGTATCATCAGAGCTGGCTGCCTCTAGCTTGAAATCAGGATCTGCAACAACCAAGGATGCAGGTGCATCTCGAAACTGATAAGACTGTGCTCTTGATTTGTTGATGTCATTCCAACCTACCACGTCCCGTGACGACACCACGTAGCTCAAGGTCAGTTCCCAGTCAAGCACGTGGCCCACCTCACAAGGCAATGCATCGAAGGGCAACTGCGCCAACCTTGCATCTGGAGCAATAAAGAGATGTTGAGCGGAAGGCCGGAGTATCGCAACAACGACATCCAACACAAGCCGGCGGAGTGTCAATCCAGCTGCAACTCGTTTTGTTTGTCGAGTGGCACCTAGGAACTCGTCCACCAATGCGTGTACGTAATCGGCATGCCCAATGTCAAGCAAACTTGCCGTGTCCTGGCCGGCTTCAACTACGAATGCTGCGTAGTGTCCAATGGTGCAAGTGCCGCCAGACGTGTCTGAATCCATGTCGCCGAAGAGGACATATTCTACTATCGCCGTGTTCCGTGGCAAAGACGCTGATACGGACTGCAAAGCGTCATTGCTTTCAAAACACAGAGAACCCGGAGCCTTTAGAAACTTTCCCAGTTTTCTCTCTAAGTCCTCAACTCGGGCAACTAGATGTTTGAATTGAGCTGGGGGAGCTGACTGTAATGCTTCCGCAGCAGTACCTTCGCTTAGCAAGTGTTGAACCAACTGCCCCCTCAAAGCACGCAATTCTGCGAAGTCTGTCTCTACCCTTGCATCATGCGCCACCAGCGGGTCACCCAGCGCGGATCCATAGAGGGACGCATCAAAGACCAAATGCTTTCTACACGCTACCACATGAAAACACTGCCGGATTGAATCGAACGTGTTCACGTGCTTGACAGCAAGCGTGAGAAGACGGCTAGTGTCCTCGTCCATCGACGCAATGTACTGCAATCGACGTGGTTCTGGCAGCGCCGCAAGAACCAAATTCAGTGATGTTTGGTGGATTTGGGCAGCGAACAGGATGTTGCCCATGGCAGCCTTGAAGCGGCCTGTCTTCATGCAAGCTCTGGCAATGTTCATCAGCAGTTTTGCGTATTCCGGGTGCTCACATCCGTGCGACATAGCTAGCACCTCTTGAGCTTCAAGCAGCAGGGAATGTGCCTCCTCAAACTTTGACACCTTAATGTACAGACTAGCCAAAGACCGCAAACATTCACAACGCAGGGCAAGTAGCCCGGCATGCCCCTGACTCATGTGCAAGACTGTCTGGTGGCGTTCTTCCGCTTTCTGCATGTCACCCATGACTGCTGAGATATCCGCAAGGTGGAAAGTGCTCTTAGCCACATCTGGGTGACTCTCTCCAAGAGCACTGGCTCGAATTTCTCGCACTTGCAAAAACACCTCCTCAGCTTCTTTCAGTTTCCCTGCCCGTAGGAGCACGTTCGCGTAGTTGTTGAGGCAAACGATGCGCTCGGGATGATGGCTGGACACAGTCTTCTCATAGATCATCTTAGCACTCAGACATTGGTCCTCAGCCTTGTCATGTGCGCCCATGACCATATAAAGGACAGCAAGGTTGTTCAAACTGGAAGCATAATCGGGATGCTGAGAGCCACAAACTTCAGCACGAATTCTGGTCGCCTCCATGTACACAGGTTCTGCTTTGTCATAAGCTCCCATCAACTTGTACAGGTAGCCCAGGTTGTTCAAGCTCGTAGCATACTTGACGTGTTTCTCGCCCAAGGCCTTGAACAAAATCTCCCGAGCCTGTAGCAAAGCTGCCTCTGCCTCTGAAAATTTGCACGTCTGTGCGGACACCTCTGCAAGATTGACCAAGCTGGTGGCATAATCTTCATGCTGTCTTCCAACGGATACAGCCTTGATGGATAGCGACTCCCTGTACAAGTCTTCCGCCTCATCGAACATCCCCATGCGCTTGTGCAACAACGCAAGATTGTTGACGCACTTGGCGTAAAGAATGTGCTGAGTACCGAAGCACGCAGCTGCCAATGGCTTCGCTTGAGCACAGTACTTGAACGCCTGATCGTATTCACCATGTTCAATGTAAAGCGCGCCTAAACTGGTCATGCTAGTCGCATATTCCTTGCTGTGCTTGCCCCAGAACGCTGCTGAAGCGACTTCGGCACGCGACAACAACGCTTCTGCTCCAGCCAAATCCTTTGCTGTTGCCCGACGCTTTGCTAGAACGTGAAGATGTTTGTGCACAGTGCGCATGTAACATTGCTGACATTCATCATAGTTGCAGTCCCGGCATCCATACAGTGGAGTACCGTGCCCCACTGTCCCCGAACATCTATCGCATGAGAAACCTGCCCCAACGGCGACGTGCGGATCCAATGCATGCCCATTGGGGCACCCAGGTTCGGCCTCTAGGCTCTGTAACGTCGCGATCGTCAGTTCAAGTTCATCGTCTTCTGCATCACACGCAGCTCCCTCCACAGTGTAGCCATTCTGCTCACGTGCGCTCATGAGACTCTGAAGCCGGCCCCAACTGAACAACTGACACAAGAAACAGGCGACAGTCCGAAGTCACGTGGCCTCTTGCCAGCACTACAAGCGGAAGTTGCTGTGAACTCTGTCAGCTTTCTAGCTTCTGCAAGCCTCGTGACACCGGCTGCAGAGCTATTTGAGCATGTGAGGCAGTTTGCGAAGCTCATGATAACATGGGTGTCCATTCTAGAAGTATATGCCAGCCTCTCCCCAACAAGTACCACCCCATCCCCTCCCCCCTGCGCTCTTGCCATGAGATCTTGCAATGAGATCCCCTGTCAAAGCTACAAAACGGTTCTGACCTCTCCAGCAATCAAGCGGCGACGATGCTCCCTGTGCGGCCGCCCGCACCAGTCACCAAGATAGTACCTTGGGTAGAGGCTGATTCTTGCCTGAAAACCTAAACCCTAAACGCTTAACAGCCCGAAACCCTACACCCTTCATCTAGCAGTTGGGGTTTTGGATTCGTTTTGCTTACACTAGGGATTTGGGGCTCTAACGCCTGGCAGCTTAGGGTGTGTTAGGGGTACAAGGGTTTAGGGTTTAGGTAAAAGGGCTTAGGGTTCAGGGTTTACGTCTAGGTCTCCAAAGCACGACTCTTCCCGAGTTGAGGGTTGAGGAATTCGGGTTGAGGGTTAAGGACCGTGCTACAGGGTAACAGAAGCTCGTGACCATTCGAGTCTTACGGGTAGTGGGGCCTTGTCGAACGGTTCAACCTGGACTGCGCCCCGGACATACAATCTAACAAGCACTTGGAAGCCCTTTTGCCTTAGTAAGTAGGGTTAGTAAGGCGGCTATGGGGAATATAACAGGGTTTCTAGGGGAGACTATGTAGACTTACTAAGCCAAAAGAGCTTCTAAGTATGATGCACTGTTATGAGGCTGAAGACCCCTAAACCCCAAACCCTAATACAATCAAGCAACTAATGAACCTTCAGCATAGCAGGCGCAAACCAAATACATGGAAAGCCCAGATGGTCTGCCTACAGCTCTCTTCCGAAAACTGGGTACCTGCGGCCTCTCCTAGTGCAAACCCTAACCCTAAACCCTAAAGCCTAAACCCTAAACCCTAAACCCTAAACCCTAAACCCTAAACCCTAAACCCTAAACCCTGAACCCTGAACCCTAAACCCTAAACCCAAACACTAAACCCTAAACCCCTGAACCCTGAACCCCAAGCCGGTAGAAAAATTGGCCCGTCCCAGCCGCGGCCCTGGGCAAAGGCTTGGTCGGCCCCCGCCTGCAGGCCTGCACTTTCGGGGAGGAGGGTTCGGGGTTTAGGGTTTAGGGTTTAGGGTTTAGGGTTTAGGGTTTAGGGTTTAGGGGTTGGGGGTTGGGGGTTGGGGGTTAGGGGTTGGGGGTTGGGGGTTGGGGGTTGGGGGTTGGGAGTTGGGGGTTAGGCTTTAGGGTTTAGGGTTTAGGGTTTAGGGTTTAGGGGTATGAGTCCGAATCCCTTGACAATACACCCGTGGGTTCGGGAGCCGGCTCAGCACGCGCACTGCTTGGACCATGGAGTCCAGATGCCCTAAGCCCTAAACCCTAAACCCTAAACCCGAAACCCTAAACCCGAAACCCTAAACCCGAAACCCAAAACCCTAAACCCTAAAACCTATAAACCGTGAGCCTTGGCATTCTGTACACCGGGGCCAAAAGGGCCCAGTCAACGAGCGGCGCCGGCTCCGAGCGGCACGCCGGGGCGATTGTCCAGGAAGAAGGGCAGCGCTCTGGGTTTTTAGCTTTTATTTTCTTGCTACAGCCCTGCGCCTAAACCCTAAACCCTAAACCCCAAACCCCAAACCCTAAACACTAAACCCCAAACCCCAAACCCTAAAACCCTGAACCCTAAACCCTGAACCCTAAACCCTAAACCCTAAACCCCAAACTCCAAACCCTAAAAACCCTGAACCCTTAACCCTAAACCCCAAACCCCAAAATCCCTTAGCCCTTAGCCCTTAAAACCCAACCTCAAAGCGACCCGCCTACGGCGGCCCAGGCCGCTGCCAACAGCAAGCAGAGAAGCCCGGCCTGGCAGTTTGGGGGAGGTTACGAGGGCGTTTTAAGGGTTTAGGGTGAAGGGTTTAGGGTTTAGGCTTTAGGGTTTTAGGGTTTTTAGGGTTTTTAGGGTTTTTGGGGTTTTTAGGGTTTTTAGGGTTTTTAGGGTTTTTAGGGTTTTTGGGGTTTTTGGGGTTTTTAGGGTTTTTGGGGTTTTTAGGGTTTTTGGGGTTTTTAGGGTTTTAGGGCTTTTTGGGTTTAGGGCCAAAGTTCAGGGCTTTCGGTTCTTAGGGTTTAGGTTTCAGCCCACGACCACAAACAGACGAACAATCAAGAAAGATGAGGTACTTTGGAGAATCAGCCCACTGTAGGTGCAGCAGCGGCCTTGGCTGCTGCCTTGGGTTTAGGGTTACGGTTTAGGGTTTAGGGTTTAGGGTTTAGGGTTTAGGGTTTAGGGTTTTTATTTTATCGGGTTTAGGGTTTAGGGTTTAGAAGGGTTTAACAGCCTGAGTCTTGAGCTGCACAAGGGACGCACAGTCCTCTGTCGAAAACTTGGCCACCGTTTTTTTTTCCAGGCGGCTTAGCTTCCGTGTTTCTTTGGGCAGCAACGAGGTAGCTGCTTCCTTCTCGACTGCTAGGTCCTTTCTCAGCTTCTGGAGCCGCTCGATCTCCTCACACAAGCTGATACCCGGCTCGTTGGGCAGCTCAGCGCAATATGGCAAGACATAGAAGCCTAACTAGGGAGCATACCTTAAACTTAAACTTCATAGAGGTCCTGATTGTACCCTAAACCCTAAACCCTAAACCCTAAACCCTAAACCCTAAACCCTAAACCCTAAACCCTAAACCCTAAACCCTAAACCCTAAACCCTAAACCCTAAACCCGACAAGACGACGGCGCAAGAACTGCCCGTCATGGGTAGCGCGTCAGAGGGGTTGACTGCACCTGACAGCTATTGGGCACAAAAGCCAAAAGAGTTGCCCTTGCAGCCCGGTGCAGGGATCCAGAATGTCTGCCCGGTTTAGGGGGGGATTCAGGGGGTTTAGGGGGTTTAGGGGGTTTAGGGGGTTCAGGCGGGGTCTAGGGGGGGTCTAGGGGGGGTCTAGGGGGGGTCTAGGGGGGGTCTAGGGGGGGTTTGGGGGGTTTAGGGGTTTAGGGGGTTTAGGCGGGGGGTTTAGGCGGGGTTTAGGGGGGGTTTTGGGGGGGTTAGGGGGTTTAGGGTCTAGGAGATTGACGTAGCCGCCGGGGCTTGGAAGAAGTCAGTCAACACACCATTCTGTTTTGGCCAAATACCTTGGGACAAAATGCCTTCCCCCCCACGCCCCCTAAACCCTAAACCCTAAACCCTAAACCGCCACTTCCACCTGGTTCTTCCTACCGCGCCTGGCGAGGCGCCCTACAAAACCCGACCCTCAGCCGACGTAAGCCCTAAGTTCTCATCCCCCGCCCCCTACCCCCACATAGTAACAACCCCCAATATGGGGGGTGTTGAATGTTGGGGGGTAGGGGGGCGGATTTAATATTGGGGGGAGGGGATTGAACCCCAAGAACCCTAAGCCCCCAAAACCTCAACCCCTAGACCCTGCCTGGCATTTTTTTATGGGGTTCTACCTACTAATTCAGGGGAGTAGCTCCTACTAAACTGTAGGTAAATCGAGTCCCAGGTCCCACCCGCTGGTTCTTAGTAGGGAATGAGGGAATGAGGGCCCTATATATATATATATGTATATATGTATATATACAGATACCCTTTAAGGGATTATATAGGGCCCTCATTCCCTCATTCCCTACTAAGAACCAGCCAGACCCAAAGGTGATGACCATCCGCGCCTTCCTTGCGCGCGAGCTTCGCGGCGCCATGGCCGCGGAATTCAGATACTTCAGCGGGCCCAAAGGGCTCTTTGCTGCGTGTGTGGAATATGGTTTAAGCTACCTAACCCTAAACCCGAAATACGGAATTCAAAAATTCTAAACCCCCATAAACCTCTGTGTTTGGGGGGCCAGCGAGGTTGGGGCTGGTGTCCAGGGGACCAATTTGGCAGAGCCTCTGGAGGCCACAGGGAACTTTGTGCTGGATGTCTTATGGACCAAGCCTGAAGCCGGCAACCAAAGGGCGTCATTGGGGCGGACTTGTCTTTCTTTTTTTTTTTTTTGGGGGGGGGGGGGGGGGGTTACAGGGTATGTGGATGCTTGGGAGGGCCTTAAGCTGTAAGGTTCACCGAAGAAGCCACAAGCCCAGCAAGCCCTCAACATCCCTAAGCCGTCCACAGTTCAATCATGACCGATGCCGGTGTCTTTAGGTATGACGATGTCAAACCCTAAACCCTTAACCTGTAGCCCTTAGCACATCCGTAACAATGCTTCCGCTACTGGCTGTAACCCAGAACTCTTACAAAACGGGAAACCTGCACCCAAACGCAATGCAAGCCGCAAGAAACTCAGGTTGAGAGTAACTATGGAGCCTTAGTCGTTGAAGCTGCCACCACCGCACAACGTGCTATGTGCTTTCGGAAGCTCACACGGCATCTTCATAGCAACGGGGCATCTTTAGTGAGGCATCGAATCTTTATAGCAGGACATCATTGTAGTCAAGCTCCAAAAAGTACAAGATTGTGACGTGTGGAGGCGCGTGCAGTCGGTTTGGCTGGCTTGGGATTGGCGGGGGGGGGGGGGGGGGGGAGGGGGGCTCTGGATTGTTTCGCTTTGAGTGGGTGTTTGCGTGGTCTTGGGGTGGGCAGGTCTGCATACTAAGGCCTTCAGCTGACCAATCCTAAACCCTGAACCCTGAACCCTGAACCCTAAACCCTGAACCCTAAACCCAGAACCCTAAACCCTGAACCCTGAACCCTAAACCCTAAACCCTGAAGCCGAAGCAAGACCGGCTTTTGCTACCGCAGCTCAGACAGGAGCTCCTTCGACCACGACGACCATGCTGCGCGCTGCCTTCCAGCGAGCTCGGGCCAGGAGGTTGCAGGAACTTAGGGTT